GACCAGTAGTGGCGCTATTTCTTTGGAAATTAGTTTAACAGTAGTTCCCTTTATTTTATCTTCTCCTGGTGCTTTTCCAGTCTTTAGTTCGTTTATTATGTCTAGAATTTCATGTTTTTCCACGGGTGTCATAAAAAATGAGTTTTGGATAGTAGCTCTTTTCGGTTTACTTGTTTGGGGTTTATTAATATTTTTTGCATAACTCTCTCCTACCGACGCAAAATAATTGTTAAAATAGTTTGCTATACGAAAGGGATCTGTTAAAATCTCTCCATCAGCAGATTGTATTTCTTTTACAAATTGTTCTCTATTTACTCCACATTCATTATTTACAATATTCCATAAATTCTTAGTATTTCCCGTATTATTATCAATTTTTTTCTGAAAGTATTTAGATTTTGTCTGTACTATTATTTTGTTTAATTTATTTCTAAATGTTGTATACGCATTTTTTTTTTGTTATTTTGAGGATCAGCTTTATGTAAATTATATAAATTAGCTTTTGTTTTAATAGATGTTATTATCCCTTCAGTGATCCATTCAGTTCGTGGTTGCTTTTCCCGTTTAAGTTTTATTTTAGTTGTGTTTTTATTTACTAAGTTACTAATAGTTTCTTGTAAATATGTAGAAAGAAAAATTGGATCTGTAGAAGAGTAAAAAGATGCCCAAGAATAGTTTACTATATCTTTTTTTAAGTTTTCATAATTGGTATAAAACTTAAATTTTAAATTATTATTATTATTATTGATATTAATACTAGTGTTCGTATTTGTATTATTGTAATCTAATTCCAAACCCCCAATAACAGTTTTATGATTATTAATAGATGTGGCGTATGTTAAGGATAAACAATTTGTAAGTTTTTCGTTTTTTCTAGTTTTGACAAAAATGTGATCAATACAACTAGTAGACTCACCCTGCTCGTTAGTTACAGCATTTAATAATGAGACAAAATTGTATTCTCCCATTATATCTAAATATTCACTTACCGGATCCCACCTCTCCTCCTTCAATATATCCAGATTTATATCTCCTACAAAATAATGCTCTTCTATTAGGTATGCTTTTGTTTGTTCTAGGTATATTTGCAGTGCATTTAAAAATTCGTCTTTATCTCCAGCGGGAGACCTATAGAGGCAGGTAACAAGAATATATTTATTTTGTGAGGTTTTAATTTGTAGTTCAATCGCTTTACAATGCGCTAGTCTTATTATTTTTGCTGTGTATTCAATATCTTTTTTAACATAGACCACTACTCCATCATTTCTGTTATAATCTCCTTCATTATATAGAGTAATATAGTTTTTAAGTTTATGACAATTAATATCAAGAATTTTAAAGGTTTCTGTTAAAACAATTAATTCAAAATTACATGTAATTTGCTCCAAATTTATTTTATATTCATCTAAATTTTTGTTGATACTTTGTATATTTTGATGTAGTATTTTAAAGTGAGTTTTATTATATTTATTTAAATATTTATTAACTTCTAAAATATTTTTACATTCCATCGTACTTACTGGATTAAAATTAAAATCTCGAACAAATTGATTCATATTGAAAATAAATGGTTATAATATATGATTGTATACCTGGTTTTTTAAATTATTTTTTTGGCACTCTGTTTAAGGCACTATTTTTTTGATGCTTAATAGCTTCGGAATTTGATGGTTTTCTTTCTCTAAGATGTCTTTCTTGCTGCCGTCTTTCAGATAAGGTTTTTTCCTCCACCTCTAAGTTTTCGTCAGCAGTCGGTATTTGGGGAGCACTGTTGGACTGTTGTATGAAATCTTCTCCTATTTCGATGATGTCCTCCACCGTATACACCTTATTATTTCGATACAGTTTTTCTCCTTTTATGTAACAGTTATCCTGACTAACACTTCTTATTTGTTTAAGATGATCTCTGAGAATTTTATTTCTTGCTTGCTGTAACTTAGTTAGGTCTTGCGTTATGGTAATTTTTTTGCCTTTCAGTTTTTTACAGTTACTTAATACATTCACCTTACTAAACTTAGATACAAACTCTATTCTCAGCGGCTCTTTTCCTGAATTACCTCCAATTAAATTCAAGTCTCCAATGTCACTACTTTTTATATTTATATCCAATAATATAAAACTGCCTAATGACCAAACCTTTAATATAAATGTAAACTACAAAAGAGTTTTACTTCAAATTACGTCGAGCAGTGTAAACATCACATTCAAGACCAGTTCATAATTCGAGCAGTGTTTTAGTGTGTCGTTCCGTCAATAACGTCAAAAGAGAGAGAAAGAAAATTTGCACCACCCAAGATCAAAGGCACCGACGCTTTATGTCGCTACTCAACGGTTAATATACTTTGGTTAGCGTCATTGATACTTCAAGTCTATTAGCGAGTAAAACATAAAAATGGTTTATTCTATTCAGGAGAGAGTAGAAATTGTTGAATGTTATTTAAACAAGTATTAGAAATTAAAAATTAAAAAAAACGACTTCAAAAACGTGCAGATGCCATCACCACATCTTAACCAAATTTATATGGGACCACCCCTGAAGTACCCCCTTTCTAACAAAAAAAGAATCATTAAAATCGGACACCGTGTTAAAGAATTATCGCTGAACATACATAAAAAAAATATATCGCCACGAATTGAGAACCTCCTCCTTTTTTGAAGTCGGTTAAAAATAACGAATGTGCTAACACTGCTTGTACAATTTTCAATGAGCGACACCCAAACAAACAGGTTAAACGTAAGTACGTTTTGGAACTTATTTCAAAATTTCGACAAACAGGATCTGTTCAAAATAAAAAACGGCAGATTCAAAATCCAGTAAGAAACGAAGCCGTAGAGGTAGCCGTTTTAGGACAAGTTGTTGCAGATCCAACTCTTAGTACAAGAAAGCTTGCAGAATTATCTGGAGTAAGTGACCGTACAGTCAGGAGAATTTTGAAAGCCAACAAATTCCATCCCTATAAAATTAATTTAGTTCAAGAACTTAACGAAGACGATTTTGATCGCCGCTTGCAATTTTGTGAAATCATGAGCATGCTATACAAGATCCACATTTTCTTTATAACATTTGTTTTTCAGATGAATGCAGTTTTTATGTTAACGGGACTGTCAATCGACATAATTGTCGATACTGGTCAGATTCCAATCCAAGAGTATTTCATGAAACGCATACTCAACACCCAGAAAAGTTAAACGTTTGGGCTGGAATATTTGGCGATCGTATTGTTGGTCCATTATTTTTACCAGGTACTTTAACTGGGGATATGTATTTGGAATTACTCGAAAACACCGTTGATCCACTGTTAACAGACATAATAGAAAACGATAACCGATACCTTGAAGATCACCTAATATTTCAACAGGACGGGGCTCCTCCACATTTTGCTGCAGCGGTTCGTCAGTACTTAAATGAAAACTTTCCTAGACATTGGATTGGACGAAGAGGATTTATTGAATGGCCCCCCACGATCTCCTGATCTGTCCCCCTTAGATTACTTTTTATGGAGATATCTGAAAAGTAAAATATAGCCACTCAGCCAGGTTCCTTAGAAGAGTTACGTGAACGTATTATTACCGAATGTCGTCAAATAACTCCAGAAATGCTCCAAAACGTCAGACAAAGATTTGAGAATAATTTATATTCGTGTATGGAAGTTAATGGACAACACTTTGAGCATTTACTTTGAAGTAATTTAGTTTTTAATTATGGGAGTTGTCCTAAATTTTTCAATTTAATTTTTATGTTCACTTTTCTATTATTTTTTTTATTTTTATTATGAATTGTCTATTAAATAAGTTTTACTTTCAAATGAAGTATCATTATTTAAAATACGGAAACTTTTTCCGCAAGATGGCGCCAAAAATCAAAAGTTACGTAATAAACTGTCACACTTAGTACTTTCCCTATTTCAATTTCATTGGTAATAGTGACAGAGGGGTGGGAAGGGATGTAGGATAGTTGAAGATATGATCGAAAGATGTCCCCTTTGAAATAAAAATCGACCTCTTTTTGTATTTTCTCCAAAAAAAATGTGTCTTCAAGATATGCGATCTGTTTCGTTTTCGGTGCCTCACCCTGTATATCCTGGAAAAAAGTACTCACTTTTTTCCCGGGAAACGGGGAAACAAGTAATTTCATAAAAAGTAACATTTTGTTGCCTTACAAGAGAGATAAAATGTCAAAGAAAAAAAAATTATTTGAAGTACTAACATTATTAACTAAAACTAGTACTTCATATCGCTTTTTAGGAACTCCGTCTAGGCAACACTTTATACATCTAATAGCGCCCATTTAAAAAAATCAGTGGCTAGACCTTAAATTTCATACAAAAGTACATGTTATTAATAAACAAATGTAAAATAATTTACATGTAATATTAATTAGAATAATACGAGTATATAGGGTGTTTCAGACTGAAATGTAGGACACTTGGATGATTGGAAATCACCCCTTATTAGAGAATCTGTCGTATCTAATTTCCTAAGTATAAAGTGTTTCACGGTGTTCGTCTGAATTTTTATTTGACCAAAAATAAGATTTACCCTCATATAGCAAAAATAATCCCTTTAATAATATGTCTTAACATAATTTGAATATTGCTTTTCTCCTCAAAAACAGCACCCTGTATCACAAAATTGTGCATATCTGATAAGATAGTTTAAATCTTTTCAAATCCCTACAGGTGTCCGAAAAATCATTAAAATCGATTACGAATTTCGATTCGGTCGAAGCTCATTATCGATAGTTCGTTCCGACGCAGTACCACCACTACTACGAACGACCCGACGACTTCGCGGTGTACACAGTGTCGGAACTTCTTCCGGGGGCGGGGGTCCGCCTCTTCACTCTGGATCCCCTACGCGATTTTTTAGCCAGCAACCGTCGAATATCGCTTTCGATTCTTATAGTCGAATTATTGTAATTTTTCGTCGTCATGGTCGGCCGTGCCGCCTCATCGGTACCGATGCCAACATGTGTGTTCAATCTGGTTTTTTTCTTGCAGCCCTCAAGGTGAAATTGCTCCTGCGACGTCCATTTGACCAGCTGGTGGCCCAAGGGATCATGCCTCGTAAGTTTTTTGTTTGATTTTTATTTTTTAACCCTTATCCTCAGTATTTCTTCAACAGACTGTATTGTTACGTAAAAATATCATGCTATAATATTTTACGCATATGTATCGCTTTCTGTTTATATTTTTCGATTTATTGAATTTTTAACTAATAATAATAATTAAATTGAAGAAATACTACACAAAACTACAGATAGTACCCAATAAAAAGGTAGGTCATACAATACATTAAACCAAATATTCTGGTGTCAAATATACCTCTACATGAGTACTTTCAAAAAATGTATGCCCTTTTGAAGTTACAAACTGAAAATCGATTTTTTTTTTTCGATACGGACATTCACTTTAGTTGTACAGTATATTTTTTCTACGGCCCGCTAACGAAAATTACAAAAATTTTAAAATGATTTTGGAAGTTAATAAGATAACACAAAAGTTTGCCAAAAAAAATGGCCTCAGGCGATATTTGAACCCCGAACCTCAGAACAGAAACTCTTCACCTGTTGCGCTAAAATTTACGGTTTTTTGTAAATATAAACGAATATCTAGTGAATTGTCATTATTTATCCATACTGACAATTAGTTTGAGAGAATTGTCACTCATTTAAAATTTTAAAAATGAATAGTGGTGGATTTCATGTCCTTACTAGAATGGATATGAAATTATATCCGTTAAATAAACTGATATTGCCTACTTATTCTTTCTGTAGTGTTTGCATAGCATAGATAATACAGGGTGGGTCAACGAAAACGAAACAATTTGAGTTTATGATTCCTTATGTCATTAAAAAAATCGCTTGAACGCGTCAATTTATTTGTCGACTTATTTCCAAACCTATATCTTTAACCCATTGAACAAGGTGGTGTACACCCCTAAAATCTTAGATGGAATGTGGGGTTGAGTGGCATATTGTTTGAAAGGTCTTTCAATTATCTTTTCAATGATGCCTCATTTGTGAAATGAGATTTTAATTTTCAAATTTATTTGTTTCATTTACAAAGACGCTTACGAAAATAAAAAGATAATTTAATAATTTTAATAGTCAATTAAATTTTCAAACTATCCAATTGATAACACTTAAAATTGTAGTGAATCAAATTGAATAAATCAACGTCAATAAAACTGAATTGGCGGAATGTTTGCAAATCAATACATTCTTATAAAAAGTAGAATGTCCGTCTTATCTCTAAATTTTATAATAGATAAACAACAAAATTTAGCCAGGTACTATGATAGTGGATAGTAAAGTGGTTCTTGTTATTCAGAGGTTTATATATTTTTTAAATGGTTTACACTATTATTGCAATATCCTATTCAAATAATGAGTCTGGATACAGATCAGCTGAGATTTTTAACCAACGGCATCCTCCAGTCAAACATGTCAATCGAAAATATGTCTTCTAACTAGTAAAAAAATTTACGCAAACTGGTTACCTAACAAAAAGCGTGATATTGTAAATCCGGTAGTCAAGGGGTTAAAGATAGGGGTTTGGAAATATGTATCGACAAATAAATTGACGTGTTCAAGCGATTTTTTTTAATGAAAATTTCATTAAGAACCCTGAACTTGAATCATTTTGTTTTCGTTGTCCCATCCTGTATAATACACCATGTATAGTAATTATGAATCAGTAAATTATTGCCGGCTTGATTTGTTTTACAGTTCAGTTAATAATATAAGGTCTTATTTATTTAAAAATATTCTTTGAAATCTGCCAGCTTGATTTGTTATTCATTTTAATTCATAATATTAGTTATTTCTTTGACATATTTTAAATAACAGTGTAAAAGGCATTAAAATGAACAACTTTTTCAAAAAAAAAACTCAACAATAAAAACTTACATTAATGTATTCCAAAATGTATTCAATACAGTCCTGTCTAACTTAAATATTGTATAATGTATCTCTTTGAGCGGGATTAATGAAAGTTCTGGAACTAGGATAGGCTTACTAGGAAAGGCGTTAACTGTACAACACTGATGCAGCAGCGGCACTTTAAATACACTCACCATAAATAAGCCACATATCCACAAGTTCATTGTTATCTTAATTTACTATACTGAACAATTTAAATTCACTACTTCAGATAGACATGCTACTGAATGACAATATCCTATGCACAATGAAGCGTGAATAATAAGAAAAACCAAAAAACAAAGGTATACACAGGTTAGCTTAACTTTTCATACACAAGTCCAGACCCGGATTTAGATTTTTTAATTTTTTCTTATTTTTGAGGTTTTTTGACAAAGTTATTTGAAGATGTTTATTTTAACGACTTCTATACAAAGTTAAGTATGAATTTGGGATTCACCCTGTATAGACCTATTACATTTAAAGCATAATCTGGCATACTTTAAAACAAAAATAAGACGCTTGTGAACAGTCAGATTGTGCATGATGAAAATAAGGGAACATCTTTTTCCATCCTACCTCATTTTGGAGGGCAACATAAATCCTGAGCTATCAAAACAAATATTGGTTATTCAAAAATTTTACTAACTTACAATCTCTTCGCTTGACATCCCCGGTTCATTTTTCGACTTTCTTTAATTTGTTTTGTGTTATGATTTGGCCTATCCTAACATATGTTCCGATTTTTTCTTCCATCCACTTGTTATTACTTCCTGTGTTCTGATTAAGGGTGTTTAATTATTCTTCTATAATAATTCTTCCTGTCTGTCTGTCTGTCTATATGTCTGTCTGTCTGTCTGTCTCTCTGTCTGTCTCTCTGTATGTCTGTCTATATGTCTGTCTGTCTGTCTGTCTCTCTCTCTCTATGTGTCTGTCTGTCTGTCTCTATGTGTCTGTATGTCTGTCTATCTCTCTCTATGTGTCTCTTTCTGTCTGTCTGTCTGTCTGTCTGTCTGTCTGTCTGTCTGTCTTTGGCTACTCCAACATTATTGAATAAAAATATCTTTCGAACTTAAGATCTTGTTAGCTCTTTCAAAACTTCCAAATATTTATGAACTTAATTCAATCCATTCGATTTGTTTGGGATTAGCTTCTTAGACCATTGATCGTATAGCTCGTTATCTCACCATCGTCATCTATAAAATATCTAAATTTCGCTTCCCTCAGTACCTTATCTGGCTGACTTTCTTTTCTTTTATGTATTTTTCATCCGGTCATATAATCAGTCTTGAATTTACTTCATCACTCTAGTTTTAAAAAAAAGTACCTACTTTTTACTGTAAATTTTGTATTTCTCGTCTTTTGAACTTTATCCTTCATTTATAAGTTTTATTTTTTCTTTTTATTTTAGCACACAAGACGCCAGCAGCCTATCACGGCCAACGCCGGCAGTTGGAGCGTGCGAAAACTGGCGACATGTTAAAGGCGAAAATCCAACAAAGGCCGCCGCGCCAAGAACTAGAAAGGCGACACATTCTAGAAATCGATCCTAGTCACGTTGATCCAAGCTTAGCGGAACGGCAGCGCATGCTAAAGAAAGCGAAGCTAGCCGATCACCTAAACGATCAACTCTCACACCGACCCGGTCCTCTAGAGCTCATCCAGAAGAACATTCTTCATACGGAAGAACCGATTGAAGAAGCAGTAAAAACCGGCAGAATTCCTTATAAAGCGACCAGCGAGGGACAACTCCACAGGCCTCAACATCCCTCGAATTATATTAATCCCGAAGAGGACTCACAAAGTTCGGAAGGTGATAATAGAGTGAGTCCCGGTCCTTCGGATGTCCTTGAAACAGCTGCTAAGTCAGCCGGAATTGTAGTGTCTCTAATACAACCCACGGAAACTGTGGTAGTGACCTCAGCAAGTCCCATATTGAAAAAAGACAATGAAATTGTGTTCGCGGATCTGTGTAGATCAGTGGCTGCGCCATTATTATCACAAGCATCCGCGTCGAGTCCAGCCTCCTTAGTGTCTTCCACCTCTACTTTAAGTCCCTTATCTTCAGTAGCAAGTCCAGTGCCTTCGATTATGTCGCAACCTGCGACGCCAGCACCTCCACCTCCTCCACCACCCATGTCTTTGATTTCCCGTACTATCCAGTCGCCAGTGAGGAGCGATTCCTCTGGTAAAGATAAAAATAGAAAAAAATCGAAGAGTAAATCAGTGCCAAAAACGCGTACTATAAAGTTTCATGAATACAAAGGCCCTCCTAGTGCTCAAAAGAATTCCAACTCAAGTCAGTCACCAGAAGAGAGCTCCTATGACCTACTTTTGAAACAGCAAACTCTACTCCTGCAATTTCAATTGCAGTTGCAACATAAGTACCCTCAAATTATCTTGCCAGCCTCACAAAAAGCTACTTCTTCAGAAAGTAGTAATAGCAGTAATAGTAATATTAATATTCAGCAACCGTCACCTGCACCTTCAACGTCATCAGAATCATCGGCGCCTTCTAGAATCACTGGTAGACTGGAAGATATGAAAGTTAGCGACTTGAAAGCGGAACTTAAACGTCGAAGTTTGCCCGTTTCTGGATCCAAACCGCAACTAATAGAAAGACTCAAACCTTTTACAGGTATTAACGATATTATTAATCAAAATCCCTCATCCATAGATTCATCTGTTCATAGTAATAGTATGGATCAGTGTCACAATTCACCAATTTACCAAAGCATAGATTCACCTCCGGAGTCTATAAAAGAAGAGAAATCCGAACAGATGGATCTTGACCCTATGAGTCCATCGCCTCAATCTCAACCTATGCAAGACCAATTCCAACAAAAAATCCAAGAGCAGCAACAAAAAACCAACGAAGACATAGTAAGAGAGCAACAAAGACAAATAGAAGAACTGCAAAGAGAATTAACTTTATCTCAGTTAAAATTGCAGGCTGCTACTAGATCTGAACCAAAAGCTCAAATGCTGGCTCTTCAGAAACACTTGCAAGCCAGACAACAACAGCAGCAACAACGATTGCTGCAACAGCAGCAGCAAGCTCAACAGCAACAACAACAAGCTCAGCAGCAGCAACAACAACAAGCTCAGCAGCAGCAACAACAAGCTCAACAACAACAACAAGCTCAGCAGCAACAACAACAAGCTCAGCAGCAGCAACAACAACAACAAGCTCAGCAGCAACAACAAGTTCAGCAACAGAACTTTGTGATACAGATGAAACAGTTGCAAGCTTTGCAAGCTAGACAAAGTGAAGAAGAACAACAACGGTTGCAACAGCAACAGGCCCAGCAACAGGTTCAACAACAGCAGCAAATTAATTTCCAGAATCAAAAAAATATAACCGGTGGTTTGATATTAAATAGTGCAGAGGCAGCTTTAATGTTCAACCAGTTGATGCAGGGGAAAGCTAAAGTTTTGAACGGGCATGCAAGAAGCAATTCCACTCCAAACTTTTTGAATTCCATACCGATCATAACTACTCAAGAAATAAAAACGGAATACATAAACGACCAAAAGATTCCTAAAGAGATAAAAATAGAATTCGTTGAAGAATTGAAACCGCCTCCGCCACAATACAGCGAAGCTACTAAGCAAATGAATAAGAAGAATCACATTAAGAGTCAAATAGTCGACGATGTATTGGAAATTTTAATTAAGAACGGTGAATTGCCGCCTAGCGCTGCAAATGACCCTTTGACCCCTTCGTCTGCGGGTACCAAATCGACTGAACCTGTCTACCCGCAGAGTATACTTCAAAATCATCTGGATGACAGTCAGAACCACAACACAATGATTGATCCAGATGGCCCAGAGGCTACGTTAGGTATGTTTATATTTATTAAGTTATATTGGATTTTGACGGGTCTTATTTGATATTCTATACTAATTTTCGCATCAAGTAGAGTGATTTTATGGGTATAAAAATTTGGCTAAATGCAAGTAGTTTTAAAGTAAGAAGGGTTGATAATTATGTTACTGAATTTAGGCCAGGCGCTGATACAAAGTATCATTACAGTAGAGTTTGTTTTTTTTACCTAACGGAATGCAATGTTGGAAGTTTTTTAGTCAAATTCGTGATTTTTTTAGGCTTCTCTGAGCATTACTTTTGGAGATAAGTTAGGGTGAATTTTTAATTTAAAATATTAGATTGTAGTTACATATAAAGCTTGAAAAAACATTTCGAAACTCAAGCACCAGAAACAAGCAATATATTCCCTTTACAGACACCCTAACCCTGGTTCATCATTTGGTCATCCTGATATATGATCTGTTCTGACTCGAACGCCATTTGCTTCCAAGGTCTTTTACTGATTAGTTAAGGATAAGGAAGGAGGAATGTTCTAAATTCCGACTAATAAAGGTCATAGGTTAAAATGTTAGAAATGTAGGTATGATCCTCGTTTTCATGCTTTGTCTTTTGATTACTTATTGATGAATGCATACTTATATAGTTTGGGTAGGTCCGTAAACTTGGCACAACAATATTACCACAATATACAGAGCTTCACATTATTATGACTCAACTGATGCGAAAAAACTACCTAATGTATACTTATAGTTACACTTATATGTAATTAAATGCAGGTATAGATCCGTCCGATTTGCTGGAAACTCTGGACAACATCGAAGACATGGACTTCTCCCAGTTAGTGATGGAACTGGGTGGGTGCCAGAACCAATCGGACAACAATAACTTCAACAACGAACAATCCCCAGACGAAGACATCGCCATGGACACGGACGACTGGTTGGAATCGCTTTTACCGAGCGAGAGCGTCTACAATGGTAACAATGGCGCCCCTCTCGCCGCTCAAGAGGCCGATTTGGGCGGTTACGATCCTCTGTTGGGCATCGCTCAAGATCCTTTCGATCCTTTCAATTTGGAGGAGATCAGGACGCCCGCTGATCTGACGGCGTCGCTGTCGTGGGAGAAGATCGACTATGCGGCGTAGTTGAAATTGTGTGCTGTGTGCGTGTGATGATCGACGTGGTGTTTAGGTAAGTTGAGAAACATTGTAACGTTTTTTCATGAAAATGTTGTTTCCGATTTGAAAAATTTATTGATATTGTGTTTAATAGTGTCTAGAACGATTGTTCAATATTTCGTGAAAATTTCACTTGTTCGGACGTCAGCGGGTTTTACTTAAGTTTCCACAAATAAGTATAAATAAAGCAAAAACCGAATGGGATAAAATTCATACAAATATTTGTGTAACTATCATTTAGCATACCTAACGAAATTTATTAGATTTAAGGGTAATGACCCTTTACGAAACTGGCTTTGGAATCGAACCCTTTTGCCAATTTTTGTGACTCATTGTTGCGTTAATGATCAAAAAATGCTGGACATTCCTTCGAGATCATTATTGTCGTTAGATACGGCCAAATGGGTTCATGTTCTAAATTAAATCTTACTCTACCCGAATGATCTATTGTGAATCATTAAACGCGACAGTCTCGTAGTTAACTTTTTTGTTACAAATAATTCAAGAAAAATAGTAAAAGTTATGTTTTTTTTTTTTTCATGGACGACATTTTGAAATGAAAATTGATTGTATTAAAAATAATAATAATAAGGCTGTTCTCTTTCCATTGGGCCTAGTAAAGTAAAACACAGTTTATTTAGGAAAAAATATATATTTATGTTTCAAAATATTTAATGCATTTTTAGATTCGCAAAAATTACTCTTGAAAACATTGTCTCCAATATTCTGGCTGTAATTTGTTTATTTCATTTTTAAAGGCATCAACCTCTTCTTCGGTTAATGTAAAACGTACAACCCCTTAATTCATTTTTTACCCGATGAAATAAGGAAGAAGTCATTATTAGGCGCTCGAATATTTCTATGTTTCGGGCATCCAAATCCACTGCTGGCTGGTGCAGAACTGCAAAAAAATGAGTGTCTAAATTTCACATAAATTATTTTAGATATTCTAAAATATACGTAAAATAGATTTTATAGATAATCTCTCAATAATTTTAATTATTAAAAAGTAAATAGTGTGGCTGCTCTGCACTGCTCAGGTCGCTTGCGTTCATTGTCTCCTTAGTTGTTTTAGTAGTCTTGAGAGATATGCCCTTTAAAAAAAAACTATTAACAAGTTTGCGAACAACGAAACTTTCTTGTCAACATTATTTTGATAAAAAATAAAAAAGGTCTATCAATCAATTCTACTTTTAAATTTTTTAAAACGATACGCCTGTTGTCTCTTTCTGCACACTCATTTTGCTCTAGCGTAAAAGGCATCACTAGTCTCTGTCTGACACCGTTTTGATGGAAAATGGAAAATTGCTCGTAACTTTTCCATTATCGAACTCTCCGCCGCCCTTGTCGCTCACGACATGTCCAGTAGTTTTTATCTCTGCCAACATGATTTTAAGCTTCTCGGGCACCTCGGATTTTTCTTTGTTTGGAAACATATCTGAATCTGGTGCAATCGTCTTTGAAGAGAACATAATATCCAAAAATGATTTTGTGAAGGTATAAAAGATCCGCTCTCCAGGTTCGACCTTTTTCTAACTCCAAATTTCTGTCGATGTGCTTTACTGAAGATACATGGGTCACACAGTTCACTATCCAGCGTGACTTTTATTCCAAGTTCTCTAAAGATCTTTTCTTTCACTTGTTTTTTTTTATTCTGATGGCTTAATTTCTCGTGGTACAACTGTAGCAGAGGTTATTTGGGCTGTATTAGGATTAGCATTTTTGACGTGAAGCTTGAATAAGCGATTCCTGGTTCCTACTTGGAGTACTTTCTCATCTAGGACAAACCTACATTCTTCGATTTTCAAGAAAAAGTTTTTCTTTGTGGAAGGTACGTACCATACGTCTGAGAGCTTGATTTTCTTCCACTGGTCATTGGCTTGTGCCTCAATTTATAAGTTACCTTTCTCAATACCTCCTACTGAGTCTCCATTAGCGGTTGTCACCTTGTGGCCTCCTCCGAAATACTCAAACGATTCATACAAGTCACGTCTGTTATTGATATGATTTGTGACCGCGTTGTCGACAAATGAACTCGGAATCACATTTACTGGTATGAACGATATCGGCATATAACTTGACGTTTGTGTTAGTAGCGTTTTCTAATGTGATTCCGTTGGCGATCATAATGAGTTTTGGTGGTATTCCGTCATCTTTCCACTTTGTGTACTGTTTGACTCTGTGTCCAGGTTTTCTGCAATAATGGCAGGATATATTCTTTGCAAATTTTCGTGCACTGAATCTTCTGGTGCTATTTTCTGCGACTAAAACTTCTTGAATACTTTCACTCTTATTTGCTAATGCTTTTCCTTATGCACTTGTATGTTATGTGAGATTATCAATGGTTTTATTGGACGTCGATATTAGTATCTAACTGGATTTGAAGGAAAAATATTTACTTGGTAATGTAGCCAGAATCTTGCAGATCAGTAGCATTTCGGGTAAGTCACAAGAGCAGGAACTGTTTGATGCTAGTTTATCATTAACAATTTCCACAGGTTTTTCAGTTTGGACATGTGAGTTACAATATCGTGATCTAATTGTTTCCGGTAATTGAAGAATTCCATGCAACTATTCTACATTTTGTTTTCTGTTGTGGCATCATATAGATTGTGGAGTTCCAGCCAAATGTCTCTTGCGGTAGAATTTATCATTACCTTCTTTAATGTATCTTTTGTCCTGTTAGTGGTAAGAGATAAAAGTACGGAATTTTCTGCTTTGTTGAACATTTCAAGTTCCTTCACGAATATTTCTTTTTGTGCTGCAATATCATCGGAAGTCACATATTTTTTTCAGTTCACCTTCAAGGACATCTATGGCTTGAGGGACTCCAATGGTCCTAATTGGATTTGCAATTTTCTGGTTGAAACATTTATATTTATAAATTTGTAGAACTTTGGTTTCACTTAGAACAAATTAGTCTGGGCCCATAACCTGTTGATATTCTCGATATATTCAAAATTTGAAGAGCTACTTTTAAAATGAATAAAACGTTTTTTAATTTATAAACCTGACTAAACTTCTTGTAAACATGTCTATAACAACTACTGATTTAGAGTGAGTGTGTATTATAAGTGTATAGAATAAATAATAATAATGTCCACTTCAATATCACGCACTTTTGTGGAAGTTTTTAACTGATGTATGTCTGAGATGAGTTTTGGTGAAATAAGTCCGAAAAAAAATTCGATTGGACAAATTTTCGTAGGTACAAAAGTTCGAATGATAAAATTTCGAAAATGAGAAAAGTTCGAATGACAAAAGTTCAAAAGTAAGAAAAGTTAGAAACAAATGATCGAAATTACAAAGCAAACTGCGAACGGTCTAGGCCGCACAGATTAGGTAAATTATAAAAACTTGACTAATGTACTTAACCTGTACGGCCTCGAGCCAAGCTAGTTGTTTCGTAAAAAAAAACAATACATAAAATAAAAAAACAACTACTAATTTCGTAATATATAGCGCTTTATTTCGATCATATGTCATTTCGAAGATTAGTAGTTTTAAACATTTTATGTGATTTGTAATTTCAATCATATGCGACTTCGATCATTTGTTCTAATTTTGATCTTTTTGGTTTCGAATTTTTTCCACTTGCGACCTTTTCAATTTAAAACTTTTTTGTTACGAATTTTTGCATTTTTTCATTCAAATTTTCATAGTTCGATCTATTGTTTTCTCCTTGTTGTATTTATTTCCTTATTTAGTTAGCGTCTTCTCTTTAATTATGTTTGGCTGAATAACACATATGTATATTCCACTTTTGTTTAAAAAGTATCCCAGTACATTGTAATTATCCGTATCCGTTACTCGGATACTTTTTTCCTCTATCCGACCCAACTCTGCTTTATGGTAACGAATTAACATGACTTGTCACCAAGCACTCAATGGATTTCCTCAAAAAATTCTTTACGGTTTAAGCCACGCTTGAAATTGTAAAAATTCGCAGCCCAATAATGCTCCTTGTTCATTTCCATCACTTATTGGCGAAAGATTTACTTTAAACTTATGTAACTTATAAACAATCAGGTATTTGGCAACTGTCACTAACTAAACTTGTAAACAACTACATTGAAATGTCAGACAAAATGTGTTGCAAAAATATCATCGCTAACTAGATAGGCCATAACCACATACAAATTTGAAAGAAATTTTCAAATTCAAATACCAGCCCGAGAATCCTGGAAACAGGGACCTCCCGTACAGGCTGAACTCGTCTGATACACAGACGGTTCAAAAACCAAGGAAGGAGCCGGTGCTGGAATCTATGGACCCAAGTCGAAAACAACGATTTCACTGAGTTTAGGAAAATATGCAACAGTGTTCCAGGCTGAACTAATAGTCATACAACACTGTGCAAGAGAAATATTAAATCAGCAAGTATCAGGCAAAACTATTGCCATATACTCTGATTGCCAAGCAGCTCTAAAGGCACTTCTCTCACCAGAAATCAAATCACAACTGGTGAAAGACTGTCTAGAAGACCTGGCAGAGCTAAGTAGTCAAAATAAGGTGACCCTAGCCTGGGTTACAGGTCAAGAAAGATATCAGGGCAACGAAAAGGCAGACGAATTAGCCCGAGAAGGCTCAGATAAGGCCATGACAGGCCCCGAACCCTTCTGTGAAGTTGCTAAGGCATTGTGTAAGGTATCCATTACACAATGGATGCAAAAAGATTCTCAGGAATGGTGGAACAACTATCCAAGACTGAGACAGGCTAAACAGTTCATTAAGGAACCATCGGCCAAGTTCACGAAAGACCTACTGGATCAAAAGCGTCAAATCGTTAGGATAACAGTAGGCCTTCTTACTGGACACTGTCGCCTCAAAAGGCACATGAGTGTCATAAATCCAGCAGAAGAAACAACTTTGTGCAGGTTCTGTGAAGAAGAAGAGGAAACATCATTCCACGTCCTGTGCCAATGTGAAGGCCTGGCTGGAATGAGGTTTCTAGCATTGGGCGAAGAAAAGCCAAATGAATGCAACTACATGCGGGAGTCACTGTCAAAGCTA